AATTTTGTTTGTGCATGTTGCAACTATAGTGTGTGGATAACCAGATCCATGATTCAATATGTAATGCATGAAAGTGTCAACTTTTCAGAATGGCAGTGAGAGGTTGAATGCACTGCACCGTGACAACACACAGATCACCTTCTCTGAGGTTCTTTTTATCACATAAACTGTGTACATTATAATTATATCTACTCATCATTGGCACAGTGATTAGGAGAGTAGGAGTAAGAGGGTAGGGGGAGGGGGACTCTTCCTCGTCACAATGTCAAAGTCTGTTTCTCTGTGTCTGGCTCTATATATGCCAGTAGTTTTATGTTTCTGGTCCTAATTGGTCCAGTTACTCCATACTGGTTCTTGTTGTATAAATACCTGCAGTTTCATGTTTGTAGTTCAAAAGAGTCAAGTAGTTTAATGTATCTAGTCCTCTAGTCCTATGGATACAAGTTTTCCATGTTTTTTGTTCTGTAGATACAAGTTGTTAAATGTTCTGGTCCTACAGCAATGATGCAGGTTTCTGCTCCTGTCCATACAAGTTGTCCTCGTTTCTGGTCCTCAAATGATCTTTTAGAACCTATACACATGTAGTGGTGGTATGGTAGTCTCAAGGATTTCAATATTGTTTTTGACTGTGAAGAAAAGTTAAAAGAAACAACACATTTTGTATCACATTGAGATTTTATTCGACGGTGACCTTGGTGATCAGGCCGTCAGTAATGCATTGTTGGTATTGGATGATTAAATGGCTAAATTTATGTGTGTATGTCACAACAATAGGGATAAGTTGTTAGCAGGCTTATTGTATCTCCTCAAGGTTATATCTGTCTCATTACAAACTTGACAAGATTCATTGATTATCTGGTGGGATGTAACTATTGTAGTACTTTGATATTGTGAAGATGGGAAGAGTAGATAATTATCTAGTCCGACACTTTTTATGATCTTTTCACCTCCGCAAACATGTATCAACAAATACATTGACATCATAATTGGGTCAAAATTAGAAGGTACAAAGTATCAATTTGAACCCTTCCGAATCACTGTTTTAATAAAGCCGCCTATAAAGACAGTGTTGTGTTGTGTTAAATGGCATTTCAAAAGGTGTTTTCTAACATTGGACAAAAATGTATCATCATTATCCAGCAGAGTGATTTGCTTAATTATTATAGTGTGGTATCGCCATATTGTAAAGTTGTGACAGATAAATGGCGGACGGTGTTGTGTGTTGTGCTGTTTTGGTAAATTCATATGTATACAAGCTATTTCAGATTAACAAGTGGTAAACATGTTCTCTTTGCATGCACTTATAGTAACCCTGCTATTGGCCTTGAGCACACTTCAGGAATAATGGTATTTTTAGAGAAACATATTTAAAACGTTAACATTTTATTTAAGGCAAATCTTTAAGAATGCTCATATATTGAGTTTATTCTTTTATAAAGAATTGCTTTATACAGATTCAATTGATATGTATGCTTGCATGAAATTCCTGACAATATGTCTGGATGTGCTGAATTGAAATGATAATTCACAAAGCAGCAGTAACTATCGACTGGTATTGGGAGTGACGGCTTATATGCTGACTGATTGCTTGTGCTTTCTCAATTTGCTGTCAGATAATTACAGACCTAGGTATTCAGTGAAGGTTTTTGAACTGATAAAGCAAATATGTCTCACACATGACGGTGTATTCCCACATGTCAGTTCATAAATACAATATTTACCTTTAAAAAATATTTTTAATTTATATTCCCTAATTGCATGTTGTAACACTGGTGATAACTTATAATACACTAGCTGGTATTTAGTTTGAAATTGGTTTAATTATTTCTGTCTGTTTTACACACTACCAATGGTTCTGGGATGTTTATTGCGTGGGGTATAAAAGGTTGATGCAAATGTTGAAAGAGTACATAAACACTTCATCAAATAAAATCATGAGTACCTGCTTACAACTTTTTATGGTCAAGGTTTAGTTCATTAGAGGATTCCTGTGTACTTTATCTACTGTGTCAGAGACTTTAAGTTTCATATTCATACTCTGACAAAACATAACTCAATCTTTTATTTTCCTTTTCCATGTTTAGAATCAACATCTGCACTTTAGCAAATTATTCATGATGTCTTGTTCATTTGTTGATGTTATTTACTCATGCATTTCCTTACTGAGATGTCAATGAACAAACCTGTATATATATTCTAGGAGTCCAAACTAATATCTGATGCATTATGTTTCACAGGAGGAGGAGAATGAGATGGACAAACACCTGGACATGCCGCCATCCTGGGTGGAGCCAATCAAACTCTCCTTACGGGGTGGGTATTCTTATGTCGCACTAGAATATGGTGTTGAAATTTGTATTGTATACAATAATGGCTGTTGTCTATGATGTGATGATGAATGTCCTTTGCTAACTGGTTTGTGACTTCCAGACTTCCAGATGAGGTGTCCGCAAGGAAAGAAGACCAAGCTGTATAAACGTGCCAAGCTGGAGAAGTTTGCCCACTACCTGATGAAGGATGGCCTGGTCTCCAAACTATCCATGTATGATAACCGTGAATGTAGGTGATCCTTCCTTGTGTTTAGACTGTGATTATAGGCAGTAGAGACTTCAATCCTTACAGGAATGCCATGTACGTTGGTGCCAGAGAATATCTCTAAGCTGACCCAAAAATACATAGACAAAAATAATGTAATATAGGTCACTGCCAAATATTAATATCTATATCCCTAACATTGGAGTAGAATCACCCTCCATAATGCATCTCCTTTACTACACTACAAACTAACATTACGAAATAGTAGGTTTTAGAAAGGGTTTAAAGATATAAAACTGGAAACCAGTACCTATGACCCGTCAAAACATTTGTTTTGTAAAATGCTGGTGTTATTTTTGCAAAATATTTGGCCCAGAAACAGCACTTATACCAAAACCTAGTAGACAAATAATTGATTGACTCTAAAACAGATATTTCTGCATGGAAAGCTTAAAAAGTGTGCTTTTGGCTTATATCAGAACTTATGACCAGATATATATATTTTGTGGAAGCTAAAACTTGATGGAGGTTATATTTAACAGGGATCTATGTTTGTATACATTTTGGAGAGCAACTGGGTGCTCCCTAATAGTTTAAAAAAAGGGTTTTCACAATTTTGTATCCACTTTTGATAGCAAATCGGATTGATCTACTTGTAATGTTATAACTTTAAAAAAAGTGTCCAATCAATTTCTTTATTAAAGCTATAAGGTATTTTTATATGAAATAAGTAACATATTACAAACTGTGGTGTATGGTCAGTGTAGTAACAT